AATTTTATGTCGGTCAATAAAATGAATAACACAAAACTATTCCCTAACAAGAAGACATATTAGCAATCATTTGGGGGCAAAGCTGTATTGTGTGATAGTTTGGTGTTCTTGTATGAGATTGTTGAAATCTCAGGGGATGTAGTGATGTTATAAAATTGAGGGCATTCTTTAAAAATTTTGAGAGACAATTTTGCAAAACAGCAATCGTCCCAAAGGTGCTTTTTCAAGAGGCAACTGGACATTTTGGTTAATATTTGAAGACGTTTCGCTTCAACTAAAGTCAGTCAGTACTGAAGAAACTTCTTGGATGAGAAGTGAAATGTCTTCAAAGGGAAACCAGAAAGTCCAGTTGCTCCTTTAAAAAGCATGTTTGGGACAATAATAACTTGGATTACTGAGAAGCTCCAGAGATATTCAGCAATCATTGTGTTGTTCAAAGGATTTACATTTAGACATCATTGTTTGTCTAAACTTAATCTGTTGAGGATGAACAGGAGAAATGAAGACTCAAATGATCAATCCCAAAGAGGAAAAAGAAAACTTACTTTGGCTAGTGCAAGAATTTACTAGCTGGAGGCACTGGAGAAAAAAAGGGGGGGCAGGGGGCGGGAGGGAGGAAGCATTTTGCTCTGGAGTTCCATACTACTTAAATCTCTGTTTATAGTAAATCCCTTTTACGGGGTCTTCTAGGGTGAGAGGCCCATAGCTGTGACCTACATAATGTGGGTTAGGCAAAGTGTCAAGTAACCAATGGATTAAGTCATCTATGCGTAGACATCTTTCATTATTGGACTGTCCAGGAGTTGGCCAGATGAGTAGATTGTGATAGTTGGAAATAAAAGATAAGAATGAATCTAGCTTTCTATAAACTTCTAATGTACCAAACTTTCATGTATCCTCTTAGTGCTTTCTCTTGTCTTTGTTTCCTTTTTCAGAGCGGGGACTTTTGTGTGCAAATTCTTCGGGGGTTGCGTCCCTACAATGGACTTAACCCAGGATGATAAGCGCTTGTTGGCTCACATCACTTTGGAGCTGCGGCAATACAACCAGTTGTTGGAGAAGGTCAAGTACGTTCTGGAATTCTAGTGTCTGCCAGTAATTTTAGGAGCTGTGTAATCTGTAGCTTAGACAAAACCTTTCCTGAAAGATATGCATGAATAACTCAGTGGTTATAGACTTGTTTCCATCCTCTCTGTTTGTGGGAGGTCATCTGAGCTATAGATTGTCCCAGATTGGCTTTGAATGTGTGAAGTAGCAATACCTGAATATCTAAATGTTTGTGGATGCTGGTTTCATAATCTTGAAAACTTCAGATGAGATTATGATTAATTTGCATATTATTTATTAGTTTGCCTGCCCAAAAATGTTCAAAACAACATGTTCTAAGTGACTGCTTGAGAATTTGAAAGAAGCCCAACAGATTTTACTGGAAGGTTCCCTGCATGTTTGCATGGGACAGCTGCTCAGTTTTGCCAGCTATTTCTCAGCAACAGGAAATAAACTGCCATTTTCTTCCTTTCCTCTGCTACTTTAACAACTAATCTCTTGTTTTTTCTCTCTCTCTCTCTCATAGGATTCGTGATGCCTTACGCAGCATCTTGAATATTGCTCGCCATGGCAACCAGTACCTTCAGGTCAATGAGCCCTGGAAATGCATCAAAGGCAGTAATGCAGATAAGTGAGTGTCTGATCCTGGGCAAATGCTATTTTGGGATGGTCTGCTTCAAGCAGAACTAACTAAGGGAATCCTCCTTCCAACTTTGGGATACAGCTTATTTGAATTAGGTTAGTGGTATGGGGGAGAAAACTGCATTGGCTTTTCTCTGCCTTTATTCTTGTGAGCTGGGTTTTATTTTCAGATATTTATTTATNCTCCTCAGATGGGCAAACTATTTTGATCCATAGAAGGGCATCAGAAAAGTTCACTTCCTACCTGATTTAAGGTAGTCCTCAGTTAACAATGATAATTGGGATAGGAAACTATCGCTAAGCAATAGTCATAAATTACAATATTACATAAGTGCACTGACTTAACAATGGCAGTTCTACAATTTCAGTTACAATCATTAATTAAATGTCACATGTTCATTAAACACAATGTCATGTGATTGCCATTTACAACTTCCTGCTGGCTTCCTATATTGATATTACAGGTCAGAAGCTGGCAGTGAAGGTTGCAAATGATAATTGCATGACCCATGGGACACCACAACCATTGTAATTGTGACCCAGTTGTCAATTACCCAAATCAAGATATTTGTCAGAGGATTCTGCTATAGCTGTAACTTTAAGGACCATTCATAGGACTCCTTGTTAAGCAGTATCACAACTTTAAACAAGTTGCTCAACCAACAGTCATTAACGAAGGACTACTTGGATTACTAATGTTAGGATAAGAAAACCCAAAATCCCAGGTGTATTCCAGAAGGGCAAATTATAGAAAGGATGAATAAATAATAAAAAGAAAGACATTGAATGAAACAAATTAGATGGGTAAAATATCACTTTGCATGATATTTGGTAAAATCCAAATTCACCTAGAAACACAAGTTTAATGTATAAGTGGAGATAATGGAAAGAGACTAGAAAGGAGTTCCAAGCATGTATTTTTTCACAAGTAGAGGCCAAATTGAGACAAGCAGTTGTCTATAGTCATGTTCATCAGAAGGTAAATCATTACTGAAACCAAACATCTCCAACACACTCGACTCTTAAATGTGCTATCTTGCAAGAGATGCTGTGGTTAGCATGAGGGATGTAGCCAGTTGTCACATTGCTGGAATAGTAGGGCTGAACTCTTCAGCTGGATTCATTCAAACATTCATTCATGCAATATACACATTTTGAAAAATATATACAATGTTACATATGACATGATTCAATAAAAGGTGTGTTGGAAAAATTAATAGTGGCTTCTAAGTCAGTATTCCATATAAGAAACTGAAGATAAGTAGCTAAAATATTACTAATTGCTTGTATGATCCTTTGGAAGATGGAGCAGTATTATTTTTGGATTTTGGTTTTTGTGTAATACAAATTTCTAGTTTGTTTTTCATTGGGGGACAAAATGGATGTCTCAAGCCTTAGAGAGGTTCTTAACTTTGACAACTATGAAAAATCAACCCTATATTTGGGAGGTTTTAAACTTAAAGGATAAAGGAACAGGAAAAGATTTTTTTTCTGTCCTATTCTCTCTGCAAGAATATTTTCTGATACATTTTTGATATATCTTCTATTATTGTAGATACTCGAATATTGTATTTGCCACAACTGAGCATGCAATGTTTTTTTTATGTATAAGGGTGTGTTTATCTTTAAATACTATTTTTTATTTTGTTTTTACTTGTTACTTAGTGTATACTGAGTAGTGTATAAGCATTACAAGTACAAAAGAGCAAATGCATTGATTTAAGCAGAGATGTGATAATATTTGCCTAGCACTTGTATCATCATGGCAAGTGCTGCATCCTGAAATATCACAGCCAGAAATCCTGTTTATTTTTTCTAACCTCTCAATAACTAGTTAGAAGAGAGTCTGGAGAAATGGTTGGCTGTGTCCCAGTCCAGTGGGGATTGGACCCCCAACTCAAGGTACATCGCCCGCTCCTGGATCCGGGATGGCCTCAAACCACGTTGCATCACTCGTGACTTGAAGTGGGGCACACCAGTTCCACTTGATGGCTTCCGTGAGAAGGTGAGGAATGGGACAGAGGGAGACATTTTTTCTGTGATTGAATGTCACACTATTATAGACATAAAATGTGAATAGCTTGGAAATAAAGTTCGCACAAGCAAACCAGTAGTTATAGTATGTAAATTATAGTCTAGAGAACTGAAGGTCTATAAGAACATCTATTTTAAGAGCAACAATCTCTGTATGAGCAATAATACCATAATGTGAACTAATTGTACTTACCCAAAAGAAAGATAAAGGCACCCCCCACCAAGTCATTACTTTTAAGTTAGAGGTGGGGTGGTGCATTGTCTTACTTTTCTTTCAAACTAGAGGAATATGCTATTGAAAGGGAGAACTAACTTCTGCCCCACCGAGAATGCAGNGCTCTTAACATCATGTTTTCATTCTTTCTTCTTTCCCTTCAGATTCAGCTTTATAACTTCATGGCCAAGGATAATGTTCCCTTCCACAGTGTTGTATTTCCTTGCACATTGCTGGGCACTGGTGATAATTATACTCTGGTCAACCATCTAATTGCAACAGGTAATTTCTGGAGGAGAGAATTAACCACAAGCCTCATTTTTTTTTTATTCCTGGCTTCTAGCCTTCTAGTCTTGTTGGGTTCCTTAGAACCAAAAGTTAACCAATCACATTCTCTTTCTTCAACAGAGAAACCCTGATGGAGTTCTTAACTTCACCCTCTTTTGTTTCTGTAGAATATTTGAACTATGAGGATGGCAAATTCTCCAAAAGCCGTGGTGTGGGAGTTTTTGGCGATATGGCCAAGGACACCGGCATTCCTGCAGACATCTGGCGCTTTTATCTGCTCTACTTGCGGCCAGAGAGCCAAGACAGTGCCTTCTCTTGGAATGATCTCATGACCAAAAACAACTCAGAGCTGCTGAACACCCTTGGCAATTTTATCAATAGGTAAATCTGGGCAAGAGAAGAATGCATCCATAGTGTGAATTCAATACATCAATGTGGTAGCTTTGCTTTGGTTACAGGGTGAGCTCAGGAGCAGTATTTAAAAAAAACACCAGATTCAGGCAAACTATTTACTAGCTAACTGCAAAGGCCAACCTAGAATTAGGATGCGGAGTGAAGCAGCAGAGTAGGAAGAAGGTTGAAATTGAAAAGACTCTGTGCGTGTAAATGAGAATTATTTTTTTCCCATCCTTTCACTGTGTCTTCAGGTCAGTAATTTTTGGGGGGCTCCTTTCATATCTTGTGTGCAATGACCCACGTGGTTCTTTAATTCTGAGAAACATCAACATCTCACATAGATGGACAGAATTTTATGTCGGTCAATAAAATGAATAACACGAAACTATTCCCTAAAAAAAAGACATATTAGCAATCATTTGGGGGCAAAGCTGTATTGTGTGATTGTTGTTCTTGTATGAGATTGTTGAAATCTCAGGGGATGTAGTGATGTTATAAAATTGAGGGCATTCTTTAAAAATTTTGAGAGACAATTTTGCAAAACAGCAATCGTCCCAAAGGTGCTTTTTTTTAGGG